CTAGGGGCGTATTTAGCCATGACTATGCTCGCTTCCTGAATCTCTATAACAGCGAATCAGTGGAAGACTTGCTCGATGGCAACATGGACTTTCATTCTCAACCATAATACAATGCAAATCTCCCTAGGGCTTACTGTGGGGTGTGCAGTTTGTGATGGCTTTCATCCACTGTTCCCCCGTGAGGTAATGACTGCATTCCACCCAAGAAGGTTTTCAAACACATGGAGGCCATCTGACTGATCTAACCCATTAGGCTGTGAGTAAGCTTGAAAGGGAACCTTGGTTCTCCCAAAGGAATGCAGTCACTCACTGTTGGTCTTGCAGGGATGCTAGTCAGGTTGTAGAGAAGATATAGGGTTAAATTCAACTATGTGCCAAATATTTATGAATTGCCAAAAAGAGAAACAATGACGTACTGAGAATGATGTACATGTACAGGTAACAGAATCAAGTTTTTCTGGAGTGTAGGAACGCTGGCCAGAGGTGGTGAAAGATTGCCAGATATGGGCCTCTAAATCCTTATCCAACTTAAGAAATACAGCCCAGGAATACAGGAAAACAAGAAATATAAGCTGCAGAATGTAGCTGCAGGAAGCTGCACAGTGTTCTATAGATGTCAAGCTGCAGTACTCAAACATGGTGGAATGCTTTCAGGTTTGGTATTTTTTTGCTGGTTAGTTATCACTCCAGGTTAAGCTTGCTGGTTGAAAGCCGGTTCAGTTTCCCCTGGAGAGCAGCTGTAGTAAATATGGCTAAATGTTTTTTTTGTATTCCTGCACTGTGAGTTATCAGTCCTGTTTCAGCTGGTTCGGCTGAAAGATTAGGAAAGGAAAACTAGTCTGGGCGATAGGGTCTTAATAAACTAGGATTCTGATATACTGTACAGTATGTACAGTACCCTGCAGAAGAATAACTTCTAGGTGTTTGTCCCATGAGTTAATAACTGCATTCCTTTTTAAATGAATCAACATTATGAGAAAAGTCCTATGTTTTGGCCTCCTTTGATTTTTAACCTTTTATATGTTGTTTAGACATTTTTATCTTCAAATAGGTATCTGCGACAGCATGCCCAGGCTGCAAAGGAACAGGAGAAGAAGAGGGCTCTTTTCTTTTCCTTTCAGCATGGAATAAACCTTCAGCATCTGTACCTTTTTCTCTTACTACGTTGCTGTATTTAGTCAAAGTACTGTTGTTTTACCTGTAGAAAAAGTAATTATAACAATTCCTTGCATTTATATTTCATCCCAATGGAATTAAACTCTATTTGCTTATAAGAGGGGAAGAACTTCTTCCACCTACCTGAGAAGCGGCAGACACAAAGCAATCATTACTCTGCTGCACAGCCATTACTTCTGTATTTCTGATTTAAGGATGAACATTAAGAAGGCCAGATCATACAGGGCCAGAGAGACATTTAGCCAGGACACTAGGGTTACCACCCCTATGCTGTGAAAAAGTGTAAGGTGATCTTCAGTGACCAAGTAGACAGAACCTTGTCTTAAAGTCTCTTACAAAGGACAATGCCTTCCTATATCACAGTGTTATACAGCAATTAGTTTACATATGAGAAAGAAAGAAGAGTCAGAGATAGGTAACATGACCTATAGGTAACTTTATGGTCTTTTTGTAGGCATAAATGTACAGAGAGAATAGAAGTGGTTTGTTGCCTATATCATGGAATATACGTGGAATGAATTTGGATCACACTGTTAATTCTCATTTCAGACCACAGATAATTCTACTGGCAAAAACTGGACTAAGCGAAGGTTTTTTTTTTTTGTTTCTGTTTTTTTTTCTTTAGACAGATTTTAATTTGGAGAGTAAGAGAATCCTGGGAGGCATGTTCAGAAAACACAGGTGAACATCTACATTCTCATTTTGGAAAATAAATAATGCACAGTAAATTCTGGAGAAAGTCTAACTGCATAGTTCAGAATTCTGTAGCAGGTCTGCTTCCTCGTCTCTTCCACTGCCCTCTCTTTTTCTTTTTAATCAATAATACATGAAATAATATTTTTATAATTTAAACATTGATTTAGTTATTGATATTCTCGAAAGATAGGGCGTGGGGTGTAAACAAATTAAATAAATTAGCTTAATGTTATAAAAATATGGTCAGAATCTGGTGCCATCCTGCCTTTCAAGAAAATGACAAAAGTTAATAATTACACACCCCTCTTTGTCAGGAAATACCAAAGAGTAACCCTGCCATGTTTTTTCTTAGTTACCTGGCACTTTGATGTAGTGGAGTAATGAGCATAGCAGCTACCTAAAAGATAAAAACATATTTTTACAATGTTATCCACAATATAAAATATAATTTATAACATACTCCTAGTATTTGCAGTAAGTTTCAGAAATCTTTGATCCTGTCTAGAAAATACATTTTCTCAAAGTTCTTACAGATGTTGTTAATTAACCTGGGGACACTAAATTATGTACTGAATATTGTACATTCAGAAGTGTGTGTCAGTCTTTACTGAAATACTAAGTCAAGGTGAAATACAAGGCAAGTTCTACATTCCAAAATACCCCATGTGCATATGGTAGTTAATCAGTCTGTGTGCCAGAAAGGACAGTATAGCATTGTACTTTGTAATGCAAAACGAGCAACAAAAATAAAAATACATCTTTGCTTAGAAATACTGCTGATAAACTAAGCATCCATCCATTTTCTAATAATCTCATGAGCCTCTTCTGGCAAGCAAGAGCTGGAAGACAGGATACCATCCTGAACAGGACACCAGTCCACTGCAGAGCAGACACATACACTCACACCAGGGCCAAAATTTCCAAGAAGCCAATTAACCTCTCAGTGCATTATAGGACTCTGGGAGGAAACTCATATGAGCACACAAACAGCACTCTAGGTTCAGAATTGAATGCAGGGCCCCAGCACTTCAAGGCTGCAATGCTAACCACTGCACCACAAGATGATCAATTCCTTTGAACAGTAATACACTGTGTAGATCCTTTAGCTGTAGGAGTGTGGCTCATTGTCCTTCACACATGAAACACTCCCAAATGCAAATCAAAAGGCTTCTTTCAGCTGATCACACATGACTCACTTTGAAGCTGAACGTCAAAGGTCTACTGAAAGACTGAATCCACAAAACTGAACATTCAAGCTTCACTGCGTACTGAACTGAAATGGAAATGGAAATGGAGCTCAAGATCCCTACTCTGACACAAAAACTCTTGCATTCCAGTTCCGTTCTGTTCCAGGTTAAAATACTGTTATTTAGTATCAGTATTAGTAGTATCTAGGCTGTCTATTGCAGTTTGTTGGCATTTCATTGTCAATTACTTTATACATTAGATAAAATTGTTATTAAATTAATAAAGACTGAAACATTTAAGGATGTTTATGTTTTTTTGCCATCTTCTCTTTGAAGACAAAGTATGTCATATCAGGTGTGAGAAAGGCTCCACGGCCGAAATGTTGTGTTTTCTTTCGTCTTTTTTTCAGCATGGAATAAACCTATTACTTGTTCCTTTGCAGTCTACGCATGCTGACCCAGCTACCCACCTGAACTACATTCATTTCAGTTCCATAAGGCAGAAGAAATGTACTGTATACACTTTCATCTAATTAAACTTGATTATCCATCTCCTTTGTTACGAATGTGAAATAAGGCAGGGCATATTGAAAGATAACGGGTATTATTTCTTTATCAAATTGACCTTGGGCCCTGGGGACCTGGGGGGGACCTCTCTAATTAGAGGGTGCATATGTTTCCTGTGTGCACATGGGATTTCCCCTCACAGTTTTCAGTTTCACAGTCAATAAAGTTAAAAAGTTAGATGAAAACAATTACCCACAAAAGTCTTCATCGAATTGAGCCATGTGCCCAGGCCAGAAACCAGGGAACACTCAGAGCCTGGGGAAATTTTAAGGAGTGTGATCTGGACAAGTTCACCACAGGGAACTTTTTTTTTAGGAAATAAAGGCTATGTCCCTAGCCGAGGCAGTCTGGCATTAATCTCCTCCAAGAATTTGGCTCTTACAAGAAAGCAACTCTCGCATTTTGTCTTTCATGACATGACAAAAAATTAAGGGATGGGAAATATCTTTTTGTCTCAACACTAGTGACAGTGAGATAATACTATATTATTTTATATATTTATTATATATATGTATTATTTTATATATTATATATAAGCGCACTTATTATTGTTTTTATTATTACTATTGCAGACGATTGCAAACACCAGTTCCCTGCTTCTTGTTAGATACACTCACTGACCACCCATGCAGTAGTATTAGAAACCTTCCTCGCAATTTGATAAATAACCTGAAACACTTCCAGGACTCAGCACTGCAATGAGACATTTTGATTTTTTTACTTTCGCATAAAAGCTTGCACACTATCATACAACTGTCACTCACTAATGAGCAGTTGAGCTCAGAACAAAGATTAATTGGCCGTGTAATGTTAAGGTCACGTGTAATTTGAATTTTCTGTTTCTTACTATGTTGTTATTTGCCTTTTAAATATTCTATTCCTCACGAACCTTTAAAATCTCCAACTTTTGAGTAGAACTTGCAAAGTTTTTAGTCAAGCGAATTGTTGCCTGAATTAAAGATTTAGGAGGTAAAAGGTTTGGCTGAAATGATCGCTTTTAAGTATGTGGGTCTTCAAGAACTGCTGTACTAGAGAATTCCTTCTTCTTTAAAATTCCTATTTAAAGTCTGTCCTCCATTACGTAAATAAAAGTCTATTTAGATTCTGTAGAAACGCCACAGTTATTTACAAAGAATTTGGATATTTTACATTTAAGGTTGTTACTTATAGGAATGACGTTTAAAAACGGCTAGTCCTCAAAAATACGCACAATGATCTCTTGTGAGTAATCAATATGTAACATTTCGAATTCTTCATTTCTAAACGCTATTCAGATTTTGGCGAGCTACCTTTCCCTAGGGGTAATAACGTAAAGATGGATTTTTGAGATACATTTAGCTCCACCTTCCCAGCGCGACGCAGAACAGCGATCCAGCTTGTCCTGGAATCGCCGCTAAGGAGCTCCACCAGTCCCTTCTTTGGCTCGCAGATCTGCCAATCAGAAACACGCCGCTGCGCTCAGTTCTGGAGAGGTTAAGGAGCAGCGCCGGCCGATTATCAGCAACAGCGTTTTGCTGAGTGAAACAATTGTATCTGGCGTCTCCCTTGTGCTGTTGAAAAAAATCGCATTTCTCGATGTAACGTTGTGAAAATTATGTAACTCTTCATTTTGAGATGGATTTATTTTCCGGATTATACTAGAAGATCATTTTCTGCAAGGACGGGAAGGTATGTCCTCCGTTTTCACGCATTTTTACAAAACGCTACCTCAAAAGCACATATTTAAATATTTTGAGGTTGCGTAAAAAACACGTAGAAAATCGAATATTGATTCTGTGGTTCACAAAGAAACAGCACTTAGCTATGCATTTTATCGCAAAAGAAAACCGGCATATATTAAAGGCAACATGGAAAACATCTCGGTTTTAAGGGACGTACAGTACTGCTGTTTACGTTTTGGATTAAGATTGAGGTCTTTGGAATTTTACTCAGTGCAGTCTTCTAGACGCAAGAGGCGTCACAGAAGAATGTTCGTCCTGTTTTACTTTAAAACGAGGATTATTTTTTAGTTGCGGAATCCCCTGTCTCCTATAGCAACGTCTACATTGACGTTTTGAATTTACCAGCTTACTAAAGGTTTTTTAGGACTTCACGTTGTACTCGCCCCACACAGGAAAAAAAAACACCTCACAAACTCCGATTAGTGTATTGGTATTATGGACCGTAAAAAGGTGTTTTCTTTTGTATTTTTATGGCAGCGGAGGCTGTTACACAGCTAAAATCTGCGAAAAATTACTTCGTTTTATTTCCCCCTGGTGCGAGCACATAGGCCATAGACCGCTTTTCAAAGGATTTTCTTTTGGTTTTGTGAAAAGCAAATAAAGTCGGCGAACTTCTAAACCGACAGATCAGTTAAGATGCTAGTGCTTATTTATTGGCTGGTATTAATAAACACAGCGAGGAACATAATTAGTCATGAAGCACAGCGGGTTAAGATGTTTTGGTAGCGCTCTGTAATACCACTTGAATTTATGTACCCTTGAGTAATTCCGCTGGGATTTGGATATTCAGACTGTAGCAAAGTGATAAA